CTGCATGTTTGTATTACTCCACACCCATTTTTAACAGGTACTTGTACAAATGTTAAATATCAATGAGTGAGGTCACTTGGAACAAAGTCTAAAAAAAAGTATAGTACACCCAGACATACCTCGCAAGCAATGCTATTATAGTTAACAAAAACTAAAACTAGGTGTGGCAAAATATTTGAGTTAACTGAAAATAAAAATAGAAACTAAAAAAAAATATATTGTGTAAATACAAAACAAACTAAAATAGAATAAAAATAAGGTTTTTAGCTTCAGTCTTTGTCAATTTGGTCAAATTTGTCAGCACAAGTATGAGGAGGCACTGGTGATACCTTTTCTGAACTTCTTAAGTCTCGCCGCTGACAACTACCCCCAATATTATAATAAAAAAACAACAAACGAAAACTAATAATGAAACTAACAAAAACTAAACTTAAATGAGTAAACTCACTCTGGAAACTAACTGGAAAAAAAACTGCTAACAACGATTCCCCCATTGTGGTTTTGCAGGGATGCCCTAGTACTTCATCTTTTTAATCACTGCAACAATAAAAGGTTTCCTTTGCTGTCAAAATGCCCTTGAGCAAACCACTGAACCTCCTCTTCCTCCTCCTCCTCTAGGGAAGCTTCGCCTGGCTGCCGTCACGCTTTCACCTCTATGGTGAATGTGTGTGAACATCTCAGAGGGATATTTGAGGACTTATTCCTGTGTGTGTATTATGATAACTGAAATTAACCAAACCACGGGCCTTTCTTTCTCTGCCTTTATTGCCAGCCAAACCTCCACCTCATTGCCTCTGCTCTAGCCACAGTCCTCTTCTCTCAACCTGAAGAGTAAACAACACGCAGCTATTTAAAGCTCCCCCACGACACACTCACATCATGGAAATTCGGTCCAGGCACCTCGGATGTGGCCCAGCCAACATTCCAGGCCCTGTGGTCCCCCGTTAGCTGCTGCTTCGCTCTGCGGCTTCACAAAAGAAAGGAAGCATTCCTGCAGTAGGTGGGTACTGAGCCAGGACAGCTGTAGCTAGCTACAGTGTATTAATGGTTTGACTCATCCAACTAATCATACTGTAGGGTTGTTGAACTCCCAACACATCCCAGTGTGTTGGTAATTACTGTTGTAGTATTCACCGCATTAAACATTTCAAAGCACTTGCCCGACCATATGTGGCAGCCAGTAGGAGCTACAGTGATTAATCAATTAATAGGTTAAGTCATTTCCCAAGCAAAGTGGCAAAAACTCAAAAGGTTGCAGCTTTTTTAATGTGAATATTTTCTGGTTTTCTCAGCGGGTAGTAGAAGTAGTAGTAGTAGTAGTAGTGAGTAGTAGTAGTATTAGTTAGGTAGTAGAAGTAGTATAGTAAGGTAACATAATTTGGGTTTGGGACTGGTTGGTTGAATGGGACACTTTTCACAGTTTGCTTTTTATTCCAACATAAGGCGACCAGTGTTTCCAGGATTTAGTGGATCTAGAGGGTGAAATTGCTAACTAACTTAATGGCAGTCATGTCTGTATTTGGAAATTAAAGAACGGCTGTGAAGTATGTAGGAGAAACTACGGCGGCTACAAAACGCAATACAAATGCAAAAGACCCAATATACAGCCAGTGTTTAGTTTGTCCATTCTGGGTGTAGAAACATGGCGGTGCAAAACCACCGGCTACCTCGTGAAAACATCAAAACACCCTCCTACCTGCAAAACAAACTTCTGATCAATGTAGCGCTTTGCAATGCTGGGCTGGAAGTCTGGATTCTCTAGAAAGCGTAGGAGGAACTCATAGACCAACTGGAAGACAAAAAGAAAATTCAAAGAATTAATGGAAACATGCACCTCGTAACTACGACAACACGATGTAATCTAAAAGGGTGTATGAGATTCTTACTTGAATGTGAGGCCAGGAAGCCTCTAAAGTGGGTTCATCCTCTTCCGGGTCAAAATCGGGGTTATCGCTTGGCGGAAGAGTCCGGAATATATTGGTGCAGATCTGAAAGGAGAGAGGAAGAAAAGTGTTAATATTCCCGGAGAACATGGGAAAGGAAAGCAGACGGTTAAAAAGGAAGCCATTTTCTAATTTCTGTGACAGATTATTATGACTGCTGTATACCTACGAAACCCATTCATTTCCCCCCCAAACATTGGTTTCCATGGCAGAACACCCACATCTAATAAAAGAAGCTGCGTGGAGCATTATTCAAAACAGTTCCTGTAATGCAGCCGAGCTCTTATTACATTTCATACAGCGTACAGTATGTACTGTATTGTGAATGAGTGAATGAGTAGGACAGTGTTTTTAGAGTGACGAGCCTCGAAATAAATTTGGTTAAATATAATTTGACTATATGCCAAAGAACTCAGATATGAGTTTGTATCATAAACAAGGCCCAAAATAAAAACTAATCCACGTTATTAAGTTTTCTGGCCAAGCTTCATGTGATAAGCAGCTGTTCCTAAAGATTAAATAGATGTGGGCGGGAAATCAAAATTTGATTACAAGCAGTTACAAGTGGTCAAAATGCATTTTAAGAGTCAAGCCTGGCGAGAACTGTGACCAACCAGAACTGTATCTATACGGAATCTGGACACAAAATGAAGTCACTATTCCTAATTATAGAGACAGATAATTATAGATATATGAGACAATCTGTATTGGCTGATGCTTCCTCAGCTCACAAAGCCGATCCTGCTGTAACTGTCCTCCTCAGTCACCATCGTTAACAAATCCATCTAAAGCAACATATTTCTGGCTAAGATAACCACACATATTAGGTTGTAATGAGCATGGAATAATGAAATCATACATGACATTTCTTTGCATTATTCATCGGCCATCAGTCACCTTCCTCTCTAAATATCTGCATCGGTCAAACACTATTTTGAGTTCTCCAGAACTGCTGGTACAACCCAGTAGTAATCAAATAAAAACCCATGCATGAACATCACAGGCAGCTTGCTAATTGGAGTGGAAAGAAACTATTCCTGAGCATTTCAATTTATTTGAGGATGTTTTAACACTGCCAAATCACAGAGCGGCATTAGAGATTCTGAATCTGCTGCAACCCCCCTTATTAAAATTCTGTACCGAAGACAATCGTGGTAGACAGGTCACTGCCACCTCTATCCCACCTTGTTATTTTTAGCAAGGGTAAATTTGAGAGTGACACACATAGCGGTGGGGAGCTGGAAAAGCTGGCATTATGTGGCTGGGTGCACACTCTCATGCTGAAGTGATAAAGACAACATCAAATTACTTATTGGCAGCTGGAAAATCCAAATGACACTAATAGGAGAGGAAAGCAGCAGAGGAATTTTAAACCTGACAGTGGGCCAAAATCTGACATGCTGCAAAAAACTCAGAAAAACTTTGCAAGCGAAGGAATGATTTCTGAACAAGCTGGCACAAATGCCACAGATGGAAGTGGTAAAAACAAAAGCATGGACACTATTGATCTTATTTTAGTATTCATCATTAAGGAGCAGTATTGTGGCAGAAAATGAAAAGCATTCATCTTTAGGGCTGCACGATATAGTAAAAACATCATACTGCGATTATTCTGAGGGACAACAAATGCAAAATGATTTGCGATTAGTGCAGGAATGACTACTTCTGCATCACAAATGTAATTTTCACTGAAAAAAAACAAAGCTATTTAAATCCTGATGATGTGAAATCTTTTGGGTTCTGTACCAAACAAACATGTTTTCTAACATCTGGAGAGAACAACCTCCCTGTAGCACCACAGTACTTCTATGATGCAGCTTCTGCGATTGGCATATTGCGATTTCGATTGCATTTTCTAACCTGATATCCTTGACTCCGTGCTGTTATTTCCTGTTATGCTTGCGATTCTTTGTTAATGTCCCAGTACAATCAGAGAGTAGAGTTACATCAGTAGTTCCTAACCTTTTAATAAAGCTAAAGCGACAGGGTGAACCCTCTTCACAGGTTAAAAAACATTTATTCCTTCACTTTTAGAAGACTATAGACTTAGAAGGATCCAGTAATATTGGCTTTTCTATCCTTAAGCGTCTCACCACCCCTCAGATTTGCATTATAACCCTTGAGGGTGGAGTATGGGCTTTGATTTTCACATGAATATGTTAGCCTGGTGTTGTTATAAGCTGAAATGAATGGTACCCAGCATGGTCTTGTGGCGCTGTAGCCAATCCCCTTCAAGGCTGAATGAGCTTGTGCATTCAGAGATGCCCTTCAGCTCACCACTGCTGTACTGAGCTGTTATTTGCCTGCTTGTGTTCTTCCTGTTATTTTAGAGAAGTCTGACAGTGTAGTGCAGCTGTTTCTGAGATGCTGAAAACACCAGCTGGAAACAACAATTGTACGATGTTCAAACTCGCTCACATGCAGCATCCATTCGTTAGTCAAACACAGAGAACCTGTTGACACCCAGCATGGTGTATGCATACAGTTATTTACTTCATTTCCTGCTGCTGTTCGCTTTAAGCAGCACTTTTGACAACTCTGCAATAAAAGTTGCTCATATAAGCATTCACCACACACACCCACAAATACATGTGAAAGTCATTACATACAGCTTGTCTAAAACCTGTGACTGGCAGTAAACCTCAATACTTTGGTGTCAATGTAGTTAAATGAACAGACTTATTGTCTCTAATTCACCACTTATTTTCTGACCTTTCAGAGACTAATAAAAAAAATGCCCATCACATTTCTCTAGAGCCCAAAGTGCCCCCCCTTAATGTTAATTGTTTAATTTGCAAACCAGGAAATATTCACATATAAGAAGCTGGAAACAGTGAAAGATACCTGTGTTACTGGCCTGTGTCTACTGTATTTGTCTAAGGGTTAAAGTCAAGGTTTCTTCTGACACTGATGGAACACACTTATCTGCTTTTCTCTAAATACATCAGAGCAAGAATTAGAGCAACAATTTCCAGCTGATGTGAGGTCCTCAGGTAACACCGACCAGCCTTTAGACCTCAGTAATGGCTTTTACATCATCACCTGCAGAGTATTCAGATGCTGATATTGTATGCAGATGAATAATGATCAGTGTGCCACCTCTACGAGCTCTCTGTGGCAAGCTGCTTTGCTTTCTCTGGTGTGAAGCACATCACCGGCTGAGCTGGAATCAGATGACACACAGAGTTGGGTTGCCAGGTGAGACACCTCAGTGTGATGCCCATTTTCTCCAGAGAAGTGCTCCGAGGCCGAATGCTCACAAAGTCAAGATAAATTGTGGTGTTGGTGGCACTGGGGCACATAAGGGCAGAGCCCGATTGCCAGTAAGGTGCAAGTATTGTTTAATCAGGATCATATTTTACATCACAGAACTGCTCTTTTAGCCCGTCTCCATTGGTGGTAAGGTATTAAACAGTCTATTCTTTGGCCTGTAGCAGAGGTTTGAAAAGTGAAGTGCACAAACGGGGTGAGACATGAGGCCAAGACACTGCATGAGATGAAAGGCTCAGGTGCACGTTGGAGAAACATGCAAAAAAAAAAAAAAAANNTTTGTAGTAAGGCAAAAAAAAAACAAAAAAAAAAAACACAGCGTCTGTCGATATAAAGAGCTCATTCTAAGGTAACAAAAGCACAATGATTACCATATTCAGGTAATTATACACGAAAACATCCCTATGACTATTATACTCCATTATTATTGTAGTTTGACGTGCTGATTTCGCCTACTTGTCAACACGGTCAGCAGATGGAGCAGCAGTGGCTTTGACACACATCACATGACAGCACTTAAAGTACTTTAGTGTCTAATTGGTGCCCCTTGAATTGTACTCTGAGTCATAACTCTGTCAAATCTAAACAAACTGACATAATGCATATATTCTTAGATTCAGTGTGACTTTATGTAACATTATCTCGGGCGTATATAAACAAATAAACATCTATAGATGTGCTAAAAAAAGAGAAAGAAAAAAATATATAATATATATTATTTTATAATATATAATATATAGAGTATATACAGGAACTGCTAATAGCTAATTCGGTATGCTTCTAATAGTGCCAATTTGCCCTAAATGTAAACGAATATAGAACAACAATGCTTCTAGCTTATATTCCCCAAACTATGGGAAGTGTAGTTACAATTGTTTAGTGTTATCATGCTGCAAAAAGTAAGAAAATAATGGGAGTGACAAAATTAACTTCCAACAATTTAAAAATACAGACTTTGAATTACATAATTCACCACACTAGCATCCGGCACAGTTAATTAATTCCCTCAGTGACTTCACAACATTGAAAAATAACTAGTTGGACCAAACAAGAGAAAATATTGAGAGAGGACAAGAAACACGGGAAGCATGTGAGAAATGTTCACGCTGGGAAAAAAGGAAAGAGTGATTTGTGTGTGAGTGTGTGTGAAAGTAATGTAGGAGGATCTTAAAACGGTTGTTCCTAAGTGAAACCAGCGTACGCTTGCTGAGGACAAGGCAGGCTGCAGCTCTGTACGGGGTCAAACTGAGGGTGACACTAGTAGCAACCGACACCTAGCAACACACAAGATGAGAGTGGGAGAGAGGGGGGAGAGGAGAGGAGTGACATAGAGAAAGTGTGAGTGCAGCATTAGTAAAAAGGATGAAAAACGTAGGAATTAAAGCAAATAAAAGGGGAATTATAGCTCATTGATGCTCTTTTCCACGAACCCTGCTGGCTTTTTTCGCTCATCTCTGGCACAGAAAAGGAAGAATTCAATCAAAACTGTCTGAGAGATGTGATTTTCTATAATGTACTCGTAACACTAATTATAGAGTTGGCAAAAGAGGCAAAATCTCCTTTTACACTGATTAGAAACCTTGCTGTTTGTACTCCTAACAACCTCAGTGATCAAAGCCGTCCTCACTGCAGCAGAATAATGGGCAGCACTTTGAACACTCACCTCTTCATTATCATGTGATGCCAAGCATGGAGTATCCGGGAGAGCTATTATCAAGCCAGCTTTCTGAAAGTGCAGCTGCTATTTGTCTAACCTCATTCAGAAGCCTGTCTGTTGGACAGACACTTTGCACTTAACTGGGTTTTCTCTTGAGCTCGACCCATGTCCGTATGTTCTGCCTTGAATATATAAACAAGATTACTAAGAAAGACCCCTGACAATACCTGCGCACCAGTCGGAGTCGTGCATTTAAACCACTCCAGCATTACAAACCCTACAAGAGGTCACGGATGTGCAATGTGCAACCAAGCTACTACATGTTAAGTAGCTCTTTATCCAGTGGACGATCTGTTGCTCACACACTTTTCTGCCTGCAGGTCTTCTGCCACATCAGGATTGAAAAAGTGTAACAACTGAATTTCAAATGCTTCAGATCAAAGCATATTTTACTAACACCAAAAAATAATTTAGAGTCATGATTTTGAAATGAACTGCAAATTAACGACAGCAGATATTTCTTTCTTCTGGTTAACGTGATTTATTAGCATGATTGCTTTTATTTTTATTACTTTGGACTGCTGACTTCAGAGGATTTGCTGCCATGTTTACGGTCTGTGTTGGCGCATTGAAAATTTAATCATGCCATGTTGTGTACAAAGCATAAAATCCCATATATCTATCTTGTATTTACCACAAGGTCCAATTTTATATTTAGGAAAAATCCACTCTGGTTCTCTACAGACATGGAAAGGATGACCTTAAGAACAGTGTAACAGCATGATGGCACAAATAAGGAGAATAAGAATTACCTATATTCTGTGTGTTTATTTATTTGAGCTATTTTGGACTGCTATGTTTGTTTGTAGAGCTTTACAGCTTTGCCAACTCCTGACAAAGTGACGAGAGCTAGTATTTATTAAAATGTTGGTGTTACTAGCTGCCAACAGTAATAACTCTCTGGGCAGACTCTCAATTTGAAATCAAAATGATGTCCTCGCTGTCTGTGTTTCTGGTTGCTTTGAGGGTGGGACTGCCACAATAACGAGGTACTGAATGTTGCCAATAGATACTGTATCTAAAACACAGATGTTGGACCAGTTTAAACACTGACATCAACTTACACTGCCAGTAAAAAAGCTTTTTGCAGAAGCGATTATTTAATATTTTACATTATAACTTAAGCACGGTCACTGTTTACCTTTCATCTTATTGGAGATGGGCTATTTCTTGATGCCAATTATTAAACATCTGCACCACACAACATTCAAGTGTAGTTTGAAAAATTAAGAATGAGGCACTTCTAATTACATTAAAGCAGAAGGATTCAATGAAACAAGCCTCTGAATTTACATTTAATGATAATTTAGGCAGTGACAACAATCTTCCCCCAAATTAAGGCAACAAGTACCTAAAAAAAAAAAAAGGGCTCAAGTTTCAACCAGCGCAAGCATTTTTGGTAATTTCCTTGTCTGTCTAAGCTTTATTGCATTATTTATGCACATTTGCTCCAAGAATTTAAAATGTAAATACAACATTTCATTTATTCACTCTCCTAACATTAGAATTTAAATTGGCATCAAAACTGAACGTTTAACGTGGTTAAAGCAGAGGTAAAGCAGTCTGCGTCATTTACAAAATCGTATTAATTCTCACAGTATCTGTTGTCCACAGCTGCTTTATACTGTAAAGACTTCTCATTCAGTTCAATAAATCCCCGCAGGCACATGAAGGCAGCAGGACACATTTGTTCATCTGCAGCCTCTGATTTGAGAAGTGCAGCACCAGAACACAGTGCCAATACAGACAGCTGTCCATTGTGTTTACCTTCATTAAATCACATATACATACATCAATAACACCAGGCTGCTACAGAACAACCCCACACCTCTACACAGTTTTCAACAGCTCATTAATCCTGTGTGCCACAGCCTTCTTTCAAACTTATGAAATATGTAAAAGGTGCAAGCGCTGCTGAGTCACATTTTATGTTATGATGCGACCATTATGATGTATATGAAATACAGTAGATAACTGAAAAGGCATCGGTTTGATTTGATCATATAACGGGTGCATCAACATTTTTTTAGCATTTATTTCAGTCATCATTGTACAAATTTAATAAAATCCGACACCATCTGCCTTTGGCTGCAGAGTTGTAGGGCTGGGTGTTCTTGTGGTGCCGCTCTGCATCCAAACAATTATATGATTTGCAGAAGTTGATGCAGAAGTGGTTTCGGAGTGATGAAACCAATCATGTGAGAGGCTGAGAGATTTAATTACCACACCCTCCAATTTATATTCCACTTCACTGAGGCCTTTTACACTTTAGGGTGTTGCACCTAAACGAACCGTAGTAGCCGGAACCCACAGTCTGTTCGCCCAAGACCTGCTGCTTTGCACTTACGCGATTCAAATGGGAGTTTCTGTTTTACATTTGTGCACATATTTGATACTACCTTATATTTATTTTATTTTATTTTTGGTGTTACTGTGCCTTCTTACTCTTATTTAAATGTCTATTATTTGCGATCAGTGTGCCGTGCACTTTAATTCGTACGGCACTCTGGTCAACTATGGTTATTTTAAACAAAGTAAATATGTCACCCTGTAAAAACCCCTGAAAGGACAAGAGTGAGAAACAAACCAAATCCTAAATCAATAGTTAGCAAGGTATGACATGGATTACTGCCTACAGTACATTAATAATCTGAAGACTCCTTGACTCAGCTGCGGATGTGCTCATTCGTATTCATGGTGATAATCTGCTGTGTGGAGTGAATCATTGCTGCATCGACTACAGTACTGATTGTTGTGTTCTAAATGTTGCATATGAGTCATTATTGAATTGTAGGAGGAAACTAGGCTGCACAAATCTATACCATGTTGGTAGAAGGATGCTTTGCACAGGGTTGGGTTGGTTTTCATACAGACTATTTTGTAACAAGATTCCTGCAACAGCCGATGTGTTAATCACTTGACCTTCGTCAAGTTCCTGCAGTGCTTTCAAATGAATGTGCTTATAGAAGTACCGTATATCTCTAGTTAATATATAAATACAATACACATGCATTGTAAGAAAATATTTACATGTAAATAATAATGACCTTTAATGTTTGGTATTTATATCATAAATGATGTCCTTAAAAAAAAGGAAATGAAGGATTTTTTAATTTAATGAATGTGGATGAGCATGTCAAATGACCCGTGTTACTCCCAGAAGAGCACTGCTTTTTGGAGTTTGGAAAAACGAGAGTGCAAAATCTCTTCAACAAACAGAAGTGTATATTGAGTTTGTTAGCTACAGGAAGGTTAGAAGTTGGTCTAAATCTTAAATCAGTGGATTAATTTTACACATTGACTAAGACCGGTAGTGAGCTAATGTGGTGATGCCAAATGCAGTAAACCTCAAACCTCTGGCAAACATCATTAAGGTTTGCAGTTCTTGTCTCTGTACTGTGGCGAGGAGAAAGAATAGATGGGTGTCATCAGATGAGCTTTCTACAGCAGCTACCACTACTTAATTAACACTGACAGACCTATTATTCTCAAAATGTTATTATGTTTTATTATTTTTATATTATGCTATTTTATATATTATTATATTGATAAAGAGGCAACAAAACAGTGTCAAAACAATGAAATATCAAAATCCAATGAACTCTGTTCTGCGTATACTATATTCAATAGGTAATACAGTGGGTGAGAGAAGCACACTAAACGAATCAAAGAAAAGAAAAATATACAGACAAAGCTTCAAATTACACCAAGAATATTGGGCTTTTCCTGTGTTAACTCTGTTGGCTTTGTGCTTAAAAGGTACTAAGGTAACAATCATCTGGAATGTATATGCTTTTTGCATGATTAACAAAAGATTTAGGTGAGTATACACTAATGCATGTTATTCAATTTCTGCCAACAGATCCTCCTAAATGTTACACACTGAAGCTTTGAATGGAAGCAGTATGATCAGGTTTTGCATCAAGATTGTAACATGTTGCTCATGTGCTGCTGATGTGACACACACTGTCTAGACACACAATCAGTCTCCATTTTTTAATCCTGCTCAAGTGCACAGGATGTTACACAGTGACAAAGAGGAGCCCTCTTTTCTGTTTAATAATGAACACTGGGTAATAGTGATTAATTGCTGCTGTTGGTGCTTTGGGATTTTGTATGCAGAGCAGTTTGTTTTCTAAATCTAAAAACAAGTCAGAGAAGCAGCAGAGAACTTAAAGCCCCGCGTTCGTGTTTCCTCACCATATCTGTGATCTCTGGGTATGCAGTTTCCACCAGCACCCCTCTGTTGGTGGAGACGTAGTCCACGAGCTCGTTAAGTGTGGCCCTTTTGATCTCCTTGCTCTTCAGGTCCGTCACTGAGTCCAGGAAGTCGAAGAGCATGCAGCACTGCTGGAGTTTCTGAGTGAACAGTTCCTGCTGCTCTGTGGAGGGCGCATCTGGAATTACACCAAAGAAAAGAGAATACATGGATTGACTACTTATATACACACTAGAAAAGCACAATCTAATGCTCTATGTAAAACAGATTACAGACGAGACGAGAAGAATGACAGCTGCAACTGTTCCCTTAGGTGGTGTGACTTGCTTGTGCAGAACAGTGGGCTATGTATGGTAGTAGCTTTTAACATCCACACAACTAACTCAAATCAGGATTAAAGACACATTTACACAAACAAATTGCCTCTAAATGGTCCCAATCAACTGGTTTATTGCACAGTTAAATATCTAACTAAACTGCTGGACAAACAGGCCGATAGACACAATACAACAATGTATTCTGCCACACAGCAGCCCAGTAACTCTCGGCTTTGATTGTAAAGCCTTTTATGGATTAGACAGTGAGTGTGTTCAGGGTTATTAGAGCTGTCAAACTTGACCCCAGCTAAGCTATAAACAGCATTTGGCAGCCGTCCAGAAATGCAGTGACACACTGTACAGTGATGTTCTGTTCCAGCACAGCAGCAGCTCATCGTTGCAGACACAGGACTCTCTCTGTAATGGTAGCAGAGGGACACAAACGCCGCAGGTCTGATTTACAACACCTCCAGAACCAGATACCCCAAAAGGTTCAAGGGTTACACAAATACGGATGCCATCTGTGACACTTGTTGACACTGAGGTGCTAATAAATGTCTTCATTAAAATAAAACGTCTAAATGCATATTTTTTGGGAGTAAATTAAACTTACGTTAGTACATTTGAATGGTTTATTAGTTAATTCACATTCACATTGGTACTGGTTCCCCCACAACCTGAATGAAGTTACCCACTGTGAAGCAGTTCTCAATATACTAACAATAGCTAGTGACACTCAAGTACATAAGTATTGATATACATTGTCCTAAAACACAGTAGTTTAAAAAATTAAAGAAAACCTGATGAAATTGTCTGTAGATTGGCCAACGATTTGGATAAATAATATTAATCATTTGAAAAAATAAAACATTTCAAGCAAAAACACCAAACTTCATGGTTCCAACTTAATGTGCAGCCTTGTTGCCTTTTGTACATGAGAGTAAACTGAATGTCTCTAAGCTTTGAACTACTGAATATAGCACTTTAAGCACTACCAACTATTTAACTATTTTCTGACAGAACTTTTAATAGATTAATCAATCATAAAAATAATTGCTCCTTGCAGCCGTAGTACAGTTGTGCATTCACACTCCTACTGCTACAGAGTGTGTAACAGCAATTAGAAGAAGTGTGTCAGTTTCTTATCGAGTGATATTATACAACTGATAAGGCTCGCCATAAAATGGTGTGGCATGGGGGCAACACACAGTCCGACACAGCTGAAAAATTCACATTGAGTTTCACACCTAGTGAAAATGTTCTAGTTGTGTTGACAGCTGACGAAGTACTTACGCAACTGAACTCTACAGGTCAGACCACTGGCTGCTGCTCTGAGTGAACTCAATATCTGAGTGCAACTACACCGAGTTGGACTTGTTAACGCACTACTCTGCCTTAATGCCAATTTTCTAAAGTATCGAATCTCAAAAGGATTCCACATTCAAAGGGCAGACTGAATACCGAACTGCAACGAGAGAGGAAAAAGGACCGGGATGCCCCTGCGGCCTACTGTTATTAACATGACACGTGGGTAGCTCACATTTCCTTCCTGTAAGTGCATAAACTGGCGTATGGTAGACTTCTGTAACACTGGGGAGTCATCACTTTGGGCAGGCATGTTACAGTCCAACCTTCAGTGTTTTCTGGGTGTGAGTGAAAAGCACATAATTAAAGCTAGAAGAGAAATATAGCACCTCAGGCTGCAAAATCAGTTCGCTGATTTGTAGTCCATTTGTAGCAAAAAGGAATAGTTCAACATTTTCAATGCAGTAATTGGCTTTATATATAAGATCGATTCATGTCCCATGTCTGCACAGTAAATATGAAGCTACAGCCATGAGATCTAAGCTTACACTGGAGATAGACGGAAATAGCTGGACTCTGTAATTAATGCATTGTATCTCATTTGCTTAATCCGTACAAGAACCTTGTAAAAACGACACGTTGTGGTTTTATGGGGAGTACCATTTCTTGGACTCGTGCAATCTCTTCCTGGAGTCATAGCTGGCTGCCTGGCAACTTCATGGTGATCGAGACTCGGACTAGACCAGCCGGGAACATAACTGCCTCCCCTATATGTATTAAGCTAAGCTAACTGCTGGGAGTAGCTTCATCTTTACTGAACAGGTATCAGTGGTATCAATCTCCTCATCTAACTATCGACAAGAAAACAAATAAGCAGTGTGTTGAAAATGTGTAACTATTCTTTTAAAGCACTAAGCTCTAAAGCTCTTCGCTTTCTGTGGATGTTAAATATATTTTTCTCCCTTAAGCATTCTCCACAGTTCCTTCATGATAGGTTCTGGTCATGCACAAGAGGAGAAACGTAGCCTCCCTTGCGGTTTTATGAAAACAATGCAGGCAGCATATTCACATATTCATGTGTTTTCTGTGATATTTCTGAGTAACCAGAGAGTGTGTAAAAAAAAAAACCCCATCTTATTTCTTTACGGGGAATTGTCTTTATCCCCCTGAGGGGAAGGATGGCTGGGCCTGTTAGATAGTGTGAGACATGTAGATGCTTTTCCCAATGTGAAGCTATTTTTGCCTTTCAGATACAGATGCATTCGTGCACAAATTCCTCAGGGTGCTCAGCAAGGAAGCAAAATATTTCCATTACAACTATGAAGCTATTTACGAAGACAAAGAAAGATGGAAATTCCAAAGTAATCAAGCTGTCAAAAGATCGACATGGATTTTGCTTCACAGCAATAAATGCTCATATTAATCTGAAGGATAAAAACAGGAGCTCTTCACTCCCACATGAAGGGTTTTTATCTTGGCATCACAACGTAGCTGACATTAGAAGTAAGATGAGGAAACATTTAACCAAAGTAATCTCCCTGTAGTGCATATTCTGACTGCTGTATCTTAAACAAAGCTTCAAGAATCACTTAAACAATTAACTGTATGCAATAACATGCAATTTCATAACCAAACATGGACAAGAGTGGCAGGGTTAAAAAGGGAAGGACAGCTACAGCACATAATGTATAATCATACCTTAGAGTGAGTTAGAGTAAATAAGTCCCAAATGGTCTTGTTTGTGTATCTGTTGATCTGTGCAGGTATTTGTTTTTATAGTTGACTTATTGTATCGTGTCCTGTATAAATGCCTCTACTGAAAGAGGCTCTGTAACAAGAAGAGCCCTGAATTACAGCTTTTACCATTTATTACTAACCTTTTGAATATCTTAAAGATGACAGCATGACCTCAAATGACAGACACAATAAGCATCATTTTGCCCAGACAGCAATTAAGAACAGAAGCCAATAGATAACGTTACAACTGTAATACAACAGGATTTACAGGGAACCCGAATGGTTTCTGCACAATTTTGTGATCAGTCATCAAGCACAGGCTTCAATCATGTTACAGTTAGTGGAATAAGAGCCAAGAAGAAACACACAACTGATAAGTGAAAATAAAATTGTAAGTATGCTGCAGCTGTTGTTCTATGAAAAACGTTAAGTCAAAAAGGAACTCAGCAGCTCGTCTGCTCTGTATTTAGCAACTCTAAACTCGAGATGCTGCTGACCGCTTCAAGCAGAAACCAAATGTTGCACAAGCTATTTAGTCATAACATTTTCTGGGTTTCATTTCATGTTGGTCATATTTTTCAACCTACTGTAATGGGTGAATACCACATTGGTGTGTCACTATGAGACAAATACTATGTTGGGGTTTGTTAAGTACCATACTTGCAGAACAAAGCATGTTTGGCAGAGTGCACAATGTACAATGCTGTTGTTATTTCCAAATCCTATAATTGCATATCCAGAAGATTTGCTGAAATTAAGTTGTTCATGTGCTGAAATTAAACTCGGGAATGATTATTTGTTGCAAAAGAAATGACACTTTAAACTGAATTGCACGAATGCTCGCTTGAACTTCTGTTTCCATATCTAATTTATTGCCCTTTAAAAAAGGTAGAATGTTAGAGACACCAGAATTAAACAACAGAGTTTCGCCTGAAAGTGTCTCTGACACATGCACTGTATAACACACCAAAAGACCAGATTTGGAGACAAAAACAGGAAATATTATCTCAGCTCTACAACCACAGCACTGCAAAGACAGTTTGAATAACGTGTCTTGAATTTTTCAATTTACCACAATACAGACGAGTGACAAATTAGAAGATTCAGAAAATTCGGCTTAGATACATCTTGTTTGTTTTGATCCAGGTTGGAAAGCCAGTGAAGCCATTTTGAGATGTGCGTGCGACAGGTTTAACAGACAGACAACAGCTTTGCAGAATGTAATGGTGAGAAGGACTGAAGAAGAAGTATTGTGCATTAAACTACACACATTTCTGTGAGTAATGCGTTGAAAGTGCTCAATATTCCACGAGGGAAACATCCCTTCCAGCACTGAGTACATAATGAAGTGTATCCAGTAATTTATAAGCATGAAAGCTGTCATTAGTATACAGTGAGATTTTCAATCAGGTGTTTGGGATGCTTAGACCATCTTGCACTTTCATATGCACAGAGATTCAACCAGGACAAATGGGCCGGCGCTTATTGGCCCCCCCAGGACTGATCTGATAACACAGGTGAGCATAATTACTGTTAATCGCCACCATTTCACAGTGGAATTTAGGTTAGATAGAAAAGTGTGGTGAAGAGGAAGATGATGGGGTTTAAGGTCATTTTCCAAAAGAAGTTTCTAAATTATCCACAGGTTTGAGGCCCAGAGGTGCATGCACATACACAACAGCAAACAGGACATATTTCTATAACTTGTGTTGAGTTCACAAATATATTTTACTGCATATTTTAAAAAGGCCAAACCTGTCCAAATAAGGTCCTACAGTTTACAATCAATAAAAATTTTTTAAAAAAAAGCCACAAAGTC